TGGTTACTCATTCTTCTAATTGATTTCACATCTTTTGTTTCTCAAAATTTTCAGTGATATTTTCATTTTTTCTTTTGGTGCCAACGATATTTCATTTGATCCTTAATAATGCAAAATATACCTCAGTTGGTCTTGAAAAAAAATATCCCATTTATTTTTCATTTTATGCCAATTTCTTAAGGGGCATATGGGACTAAGACCTACTGAAAAAAAATAATAATAATAAAAAAGGTGGGACTAACACCTATATGGAATTTTTTCCCCTCCGAGGCCTCCTCTCTAGTATTCACGAAGTCACTCTTGACAAACTTTGACTGGATAAATATCTATATTAATACTAACCAAGATAGAAAGGAATTATCCGATGATATTTGACTAGAACTCGTTCTAGTAACTAGCAAGGGAATTTTCTGTAACCTATAACCTTTACCAAGTCCCTCTTGAAAAACTGTGAGCAGCAATAATTCATTATCCGAGTTAAGATCTTTTTCAAATATAGGAGATAAAAGTCTTTCGACGAGAGAGCCAAATTCTTAACCCAAGTGCGATTCTGAATCAATTCTCTTTGATGCCCTCCCTTGATTGAACAATAAGAACATTTCTCTCTCTTAATTTTTCTTATCCAATTAGTCCATGCTCAAGCATCCTAAACATGTAAAACCAGTTTAGCTTTAAAAAAAATTCTAATCCAAGTTTATATCCTTTTTATGTAATGAACAGAACCTTACGACTTATAAGTTCTCCACTTCATTTCTGTTCATTATTTTCTTGATAAATATCTATATTTATATTATCACATCCATTTTCTGATGTTTGTTCACTTAGTTGAGAAGCATGATCAGGGGCCTATTTTCAGCTGCATATGTATAAATCAAATGGGCTTAAAATGTTAAGAGAATGAATCGGCCGGACCTTTTAATAGGCAACGACATAAGTTGATGAGCCCACAAGAATTATTATGTCCTCTTCTGAGTCCACTTTCCTCGTTTTTTCAAAGGCCCATTTCCATGCCTCGTATTGCTCTGGGAAATTTTTGGAGGAGAATGGATCTTTAGGAACTGAAGAAGATAATGATGATTAAGGGGCATACAATTCTAGTGAGGATTTTGATCATTTATTGACGTTTAAAAAAAAATCAATTGGCAAAAATATCTCCATTCACATTCACAAAGTCCGAAATTTTGGAAGGTTACGCGAGAAGTCCTAGCAATCAGAAGAAAACGTAGGAAGAAAAAATAGGAAGAGAAAACAATATTACCCGTTTGTGGACCAGAAGAGAAAATTAAAAAAAAAAAGGTGAGAAAATAATAGATAGGAAATATCATTTTCTTTCTTTCTTTTTTTTGATCAAATTTTCTTTCATCCCCATCTTGTTTTACTGACAGCTTTAGATGGCATTTAATTTGATTATTTTAAATTATTTCATTTTACTTTAAAAATTATCCATTTTGATTTTCAGGTAGAAAAATATGTTCATGACAAATAAATTGAATTTAGAATTTTTTTGTGCACGGGTTTTAAATTATGTTATGGTATAAATTTTAATATGATTTTTACCTTTAACTTATTTTGCCAGAGATAACAACACGAAACATAATATATCCTGTTGTAAAGATGTTATTGTCCTTGTGGCATTTTTATCCTATCAATCAAACTACAAGTAGTGATAACATTATTTCTCTAATTTTTCTCTCTCACCATTTTCTACCCTTACATTTTTTTTCCCCTCTCAACTTTTCTCCCCGTCCAAACAGATTCACATGAACATGATTTCTAATCAAAGACAAGAACTATGAATTAAACTCCATTATTGTGCAAGCTGATAGAATAGCCCATGATTAACTGTTTCATAAAACAGACATGTTCATTCATCCAAAAATTCACATCCCCTTTGCCTTCTCTTCTGATCAATCTGCTGCCGAATTACTATATTGGGACATAATGAACTAAGATAAAACCCGGGCCTCCCTTTCAAATACTGTAATATGACCCTTCACAAAATCAACTAGAAAACTACAATCATTTTCAACTAAAGCTTTATCACAGACTAAATTATTTGGTTTACTCCTAAGAGCAAGTGCCGTAGCATATATGGCAGAAAGAAGCTTCACAATTTAAGATAACTATAGCCAAAGGCTCCATCAGTATTCAGTTTGAGCTCACAGGCCAAGAGAAGAAACCACTTCACGTTTACAGTACTTGTGTTAGAAGGAAACACAAACTTGAGCTACCATAAGCCATGTGGTTCCATCCGTACACTCTGCTCAGTGTCACCTAAATCATACAAACACAAAATGAACAACTAGGAAAATGCTTTAAAAATCACTGTTCACAACAAAGTCAACCCCAAAAGTTAGATAACTCTCAAATTCATCATAAAATAGTTTTCAAATGACTTAAATAATCAATAAATCGTTCAAACTATCACTCGCTGCACATAAAGTCCACATGGGGTCAATTGCTTTTGATCATTAAGCGCAGAACAAGGTAATTTCTAAATATAACAGCACATTGGAGAAGACAATCCCTAGCTGAGTACTACACCAAGTATAGTTCAACCAGTAGCATAAAAGAAAATAATTTCAAAATTTTCCATACCTGAGCCACAATTGAGAACGTATAGGCCTTCTAGTAAAGCATCAGTTCTCTATTGTGACAGGCAAACCAGAGGAAATGCTTCATTTTAGGCTGTACTTTCAGCTTCCATTGTTGAAATGCTTGGTCCTTTAACTGGCAGGGAAACAAGTTCTTATTTATGGTTGTGATTTTCCTTTAAAGATCATTCACCTACAGAAGATGTACTCCAAAATTTAACAAATTATCTTCTCTGTGATCAGTAACAGGGATGAGCATATAAGAATCTTATGGTAACCCAGAAAAGAAGAGAGAGAACAACGTAGCCTCTTGCGTACTCTAGAGCAGTATTTAATTAAGCAAATAAAATAGATCGAGGACCTCAATGTGCAGGAGAAGAAACAATAGTGGAAGAAAACAAAGGAGGAAAATCAGCAGGTAAAGATTTTAGGATTTGAGTAGACAATTATTTGACCAGTTCAGATCAGCACCTGAATTTAATTTTAAATTTTAAGAACCAAAATTAGCAGTGGAAACTCACCGAAGAATATCTTACTAAAGCAATCTCTAACATCTTCATTCTCAAAGACCACCTTACTAAAGCATTCACTAATAATGGAAATTTTTGAGAACTGCCCAGGGCAAAATATTTTGATCCTAGAGAAATATTATAGCTCTAGCTAGCTTTGAAATTCCCAATCCGTCGAATGGAATTTCATCTCCAGTCTCATATCCCTTTTCTGCCATAACTTGCTCGAAGACTACAATCTCCTCCTGCTGTTGAAAAGGTGCTTCAATAAATTAACCATAAAAGTCACCAACAAAACAGGAAGAAATTTTTTTAAAAAAAAAGAAAGAAAGAAATTTGAACAATATTTTTCCATTACAAATATTCAAAAACCTCAGACATTTTGTCCATTTGGAATCCTACCTACATTATATAGATGATGGTGTTTTTTTGCAATTCATTATCAAAATTTTGTGTCATTTTCTTAATTGTCTTTTCTGATCTATAGTTTTTCACCTTGGAATACATCTCCTTCAACAAATTTCGTTGGAGACACATAGGAGCTCAAGGCTGGATTTGTTTAGTAGAAACCAGTGTAAAATTCTGACATGGTCATCTTCAAACATTTTCAAACAAAGAGCTTCATTTGAGGTAGCAAAATCGGTCACCAGAATATTGCCATTCTAATATCAGGTCAGCAACATGGGACTAGGCAAAGTCAGTAATTGCACCGTGATAATTATCATATACTATATAAATAGATATTCATAACACAGTATGAAAGTGATAAAGAGACTATATCATGTATGATATAAGAGATGGAAGAGGACAATATGTGTGTTTCTTTGCTTTCTGCAACAAATAACATAAATGATGAAAAACATAAATAAGAAAACCTTCAAAGCTATCACTTTTCACTTACATTTTTCTTTTCTGCTTTTTAGGAGAACACTTGCGTTTTATTTAAGTGACGCCTTGAGCTTGAAGCAGTACCCTTCAAACAAAAAAAAGGTCATACTACATTTGAAAATTAAGTGAAAGAATCTTATAACAATCCCAGTTAACTAAAAGATAACAAATGCACCTTAACTTTATGATTTAATGCCATTTAGAGGGATCAGCTTGTCAGTTTCTTCAACATGTAAAAGATAGATTGTAGTCTTCTTTATCACAATATGTTTGTATGCAAACTTGACTTCAATTTCCACCTCATTTCCAGGCTCCAAATTAGATACTATATTCTGCCATTCTTCATCAACAGAAGTAATTATTGCAACTTCTCGGTTGTAGAAATCCATGGTAGCCTTTGTGAAATTCTTTATCATTAGACCAACAGAGCGTACAGATGCCATGCTATCTTGAAGAGACGAATAGATAACGCTGAGGACCATTCCTTTTAAGCTATGACCAAAAACTTGAGGAACTTCAAATGACACCGAAGATCCCTCATGTTCAAAAACTAACCAATCAGGATAATTTTCTTTAGGAAGAGAATAGTGAAGCCCTTCGTTCCATCCCTATTCCAAGAACACAAGGAAAGAGTAATCCAATTAAATCGATCTAGAAGATATGGAAAATAATATTCACTAGAGTAGTTGACACTCTAAACAAATGGAAAACTTTAATATTTAATATATGGCAAGCATGTTTGTCACGGGGATGAATAGTAAGTATAGTGTTCACTGTGCCATGTACATTTACACACAAAAACAAGACATTTGCTAAAAGTATGATCTAGCATTATTATAAAAATATAATAATCATAAAAGCACATTTTACATTGTTGTACCTTCAACTCTCGAACATTTACTCATAGATAGTTAAACACGTATGGTAGAAAGGTGCCCTCCCCATATTGAAAAGATTATGCATACGAGATAGTAGAGAATTAATTAAGATAAAAAGAAACACCTTTGAAATACTCTTTAGAAGGGTATCTGTAATTTTGTTGAACTGCCCTACTGGAATAATCAAAGAACTCGTCAATGTTTCTGACCTTTCCCTTTGAATTTGATCATGAAATTCGAGTAATGCGGGAGTATTTTTGCATGAGGCCTGAGATGTGCTTGGTCTTGCTTCTGATGTTTCATATCTTCTTGAAAATAAAGGATGTGATAGACCTCCAATTAAATCTGGCATGGACCAAAACGCTCGCAATAATGACTTTGAATGATATGTTGGTGATGACATCCAAGACAAAGAAAGAGATGGAAATACATCACGTGATAATCCTTCATAGCCACACAGAGACACATATTTAATACTTTTCAATCTCAACAATGAGAAAGGAATTTGAGCCAGAGAAGTTTGATCTGCCATCAAAGTTGTTAAAGATTCCATTTGCCCAATGTCTTCTTCTAGCTTTTCAAACTTTGAACAACCAGAGAGATTAAGGGTCTTCAAGGATTTCAATTGATATACACTTCTTGGGAGATGGCTGAGGCTTTTACAGTCCTTTAAATTTAACAGAACAATATATTTAAGATCACCAATGGAAGGGTGAATTATAGACAAACGAGGACAATCTTTCAGTATTAACTTTTCAAGATATGGTATCTTTGAAAAGTCAGGTGTTTCTATCAAATAATGAGAATGACTAAGACTGAGAATTTTCAACCCCTCGAGCAACTGTGAAAAGAGAATAGTTTAAAATAAGATAAATAACAAATAAAAGAGAAATAATAGATGAAAACAAATACAAATACTCACTATAAATACCTGGTTTTTCTCCCAAACTTTCACAAGATTACTCCACTTTAAATCAATGGCAACTATATTCTCTAGATTGAAGTCCATTGGCAAGCTTTCTAAGGGAAAGCCATTCCAACAAAGCCATCTCAAATCTGTTGATAGATAACTATAATCTCCAGTAAGTTGTACATTATCAAGTTGAAGCAAGCGAAGCTTCCTCATATTCTTAAATGTTTTGGCACTCAAGTATAATGAATTGTTCATTGACAAGTTTAAAGCCAATCCTTTGATAAATTTTGTTCCCTGCCAAATAAAAAGAAACAGAAAACAAAAACAAAATATTCCGGTGATTAAGTCATTAAGATAAAGGTTTACAATTGGCAACAAAAGGATAAGAGCATATTGAATAATAAGAAACATAGGGAAATAATTCAATTAAGTCATTCAGAAATATACTTACAGTTTTATTTCTTAACACATCCAACACATCGTCATGAAACCATAATCTAGTACGTTTCTCAGGCTCCTCTAGTGACTGCTCACGAATAATTTCTCGTCCCATGTCACGCAATAAATCATGCATTTCAAGCTTATTTTTGTTGCCAACTCTTACAAGGCTTCGCTCAATCAAACGATTAATTCCAATATCTGCATGAAGTCCACAACCATTCAATATTTGTGTCACATCACTTTTGTTCTTCCCAATAAAGAAACAACAGATGTCAAGAAATAGTTCTTTCTCTATATCATCGCTCAAACCATCATAACTTATTTTAAGCTTCTCATGGATTTGATCATTTGGAATTCGTTGTAATCTATCCAAAACACTTCTCCAAATCAATATTTCTCTGTCATATAAATAAGACCCAAGGATTTCAAGAGCCAGGGGCAACCCTCCAGAGTAAGAAACTACCCTTCTTGAAAGTTCAATGAACTCTTGTTTAGGTATTGCTTGCTTAAATGCATGCCAACTAAAAAGTTCAAGATTCGTTGTCATCCAATTCTTTCACACTATATACATGAATCGCTCTTAAGATATTAAGTAAATGTTGATCTCTAGTAGTGATGATGATTCTACTACCTTGGCCAAACCATTCATGACTTTCGCATAGAGCTTTTAGTTGGTCTTCATTGTTCACATCATCAAGTACAACAATCACTTTTTTCTTACAAAGGTTTTCCTTTAGTTGAGTTTTTCCCACTTCTACATCACGTAGTGTCATCCTTCTTGATTTTAAGATGCTTGAAAGAAGTTGTTCTTGCAAGTAAGCTGGACCATTATCTTGCTTCCAAACTTCCCTAACATTTGCAAGGAAGCACTTTCCCTCAAAGCTTTGACCAACTTCATTATAGATGGCTTTAGCAATTGTTGTCTTGCCAATACCACCCATTCCCCAAATCCCTACTATGATAACCTCATTTGATTTACTACTTAGCAATTGGATGATATCTTGCACACGAGACTTCAATCCCACTGGATGGTGAGCAACAAACAGGCATTTTTTGTCACCTATCTTCATTCTGACAGCTTCAGTAACATCGCCAATCAACTCGATTTCAGTCCTGGAAACAATAAGAAGTTAGATGACAATGAATCCTACTCGAGAATCCTTAAAGTGCATGGTACACACAATGATATCAACAAAAATGATAGGCTTGTAGAGTAAGCCAAAGTAAGTGAGTGTTGAATGCTCTATATAATTTTAATTAGAAAATATTACAAGTCTGACATGAACCAAATTTCGTCAACGAATTTGATTTTACCTTTACAAATTAAAGAAAATTTAACTTAAGGAATTTGACCATTCTAAACAATAATGAGTAAAAAGATTAAAAATACCTGTAGTTATGCATGTCCCATCCTGATAAATTGGCAACTTCTGTAAGGGCTCTTTTCAAATTGATTGTCAATTTCTTCATTTTGCCACTTGAACTTCTCTTAATAAGTCTTTCCCACGCTTTTCCAAAGGCATTTTTTTGTTTACGAACTTCAAAAGGTCGGACATCAAAAAATATGGGTAAAACCTCTTGATGAGTTATTTTGTAACACTCCATGATTTTATCAAATTCTTGTAAGCACCAACTAGAGCCAGCATAATTCTTTGAGAATATAATAATTGAAATTCTTGAATTTTCAATTGCTTCCAATAATGAAGATGAAATGTTCTCTCCCTTTTCAATTCTTTCTTCGTCCATGTAGACCTCAATACCTGCTTGCTTTAAAGCATTGCAAAGATGAGAAGTAAAAGATTTGCGTGTGTCGTCACCTCTAAAACTTAAGAATACATCATAGGTGTATATGCGCTTTGGCTTACTAGGACTGATTTCCCTTCCTATCTCTTGCAGCAAATCATGAACATAAAGCTTGTCATTCATGACCTTTACAAGATTACGCTCAATGAGTACCGACATTCCCATTTCCACAGGAAGTCTTGAGCTTTTTAGCAATTGTGTAACATGGTGTTTACTCTGACCCACATAAAAAGAAGCTGTATTGAAAAATATATCTTTCTCTGTATCAGTTAATAAGTCACAGCTGATTTTGAGCTTCTTTTGTATTGGAACATGAGAAATTCCTCCCATGTTATTCATTATTTTTTCCCACTCGTTTTTCGTCCTATTATGCAAAAGAGAGCCAAAGACTTCGAGAGCCAAGGGTAGTCCTTCACAGTATCGAATGACTCGCTCCGAAAAATCCTCAAAATCATTTGTGGGAGTAAATTTCTTAAATGCATGCAAGCAAAAAAGTTTAAGAGACTCCTTTCTGTTTAAACTTTTCATTTCATATGATATGTCAGCAAAGGCATCTAAGATAGCCTTATTTCTTGCTGTAATGAATATCAAGCTCCCTTTACCACACCACTTCATATTTCCGCACAATTCCTTGAGCTGAAATTCACAATTTACATCATCAAGTACCACTAAGACTCTTCTTCCACTGAGTTCTTGCATCATTAGTTCATGCATCGCAACATCATTTGTCTCATCAAGTTTAGTTTCAGAAATATCTGAAATAAGTTGATTTTTGAGGAGAATTTCACCGTTACCTTTCTTCCATACATCCTTAATATTTGAAAGGAAACTTTTACCCTCAAAATTGCTACCAATTCTATCATAAATAGCTTTGGCAATCGTTGTTTTACCAATACCTCCATCTCCCCAGATTCCAACTATGGTTGTATCATCCGACAAAATGAATTTCAACCCCAAAAAAGTAAGCAATTTTCTCACACGAAGTGGTAACCCTACTTGATGGCATGGAAGATCATGAAATGATTCATCGTGCAAGATGGAAAAACCTAAGTTTGAGATGCGGCTACTGATTTCATTCCTGTCACAGTTGGCAGGGCAACATTCAATTAAAAGGACAAAGAGGCACGTGTTATGAAACTATGCGTGTGTGAAAGAAATGTTGGCCTTCTACATTTGAATTCCTTTTTTGAGAAGGTTTCTCTAGTGAGGGCCAAAACTTGATCATCGCCCTAGTGGGATCTAATCATGAGTGGGAGTTAAGTGTTTAAGGGATGAAGATATGAAGAATGATATGGAAGACTCTTATGGGCTTTACTTAGTGATCAAAAGTGTTCTGCATTTAAGCTTTCGTGGTAACACAACCCAAGTTAGAGTTGTATCTAAGCTTTACTGAAAATACTCTTATGGTGTTCTGTGTTATGGGTTAGCTTGTTTAAACCCTCCAGACCAAGAGAACTTGTTGTTGCTGTTATTGTCAGGCTGTGATTGCCTATGAGATTGGAGTTAGCTGGTTTTAAGCGATATATGAAATTCCTACGTTTTGATGTTAACTAGAGATCTAACATTGCGTCGCAGGTTATTAGAACGGGAAAAATTTCAGTTGTAACTTTGGTTGCAAACATGTTACTATTATAGCAAGAAAAAAAACTCTTTAACGTTATCGAGGGGACTGGACAGAGAGGCAGTGGACCAAATCAGGATAATTTTTTTGTCACACTTCTCTCCCTTGCTCTATTGATCTGTTGCTTATTGTTTTTAGCAAACTGAACTGAGCAATGAAAATATTGATAAAGAAGGATTAGGATTGGCAGGAAAGTGTAGATATAGTAGAGGCAGAGAAGAATGCTTTCTTCTTCTCGTTTGGAACCTAGGAGGAGCACAATAGAACACTAGAAGGTAAATTAGGCCACTGTCATAACATGATCACTCTTCTGTCGTATTAGTATATTACATCTGGTCCTTAATATAACATTATAGTTTAATTTGAAATACAAACTAAAGAAATCCCAATTCTATTTAAAGGATAAAACAAGTGGGGGGTAGAAAT